TTAGGGATAAGGTGAGAAGTTCGGTCATCAGGGAGGGACTCGGAGTTGAGCCGCTCCTCCTTCGCGTCGAAAGGAGCCAGTTGAGGTGGTTCGGGCACCTAGTTAGGATGCCACCTGGGCGCCTCCCTAGGGAGGTGTTCCAGGCACGTCCAGCTGGGAAGAGACCAAGGGGTAGACCTAGAACCAGATGGAGGGATTATATCTCTTCGCTGGCCTGGGAGCGCCTTGGGATCCCCCAGTCAGAGCTGGTTGATGTGGCCAGGGAAAAGAAAGTTTGGGGCTCTCTGCTGGAACTGCTACCTCCGCGACCCGACCACGGATAAGCGGGAGAAGATGGATGGATGGATGGAAAACACAGAATTTGTGTGATTATACTAAATGATTTACAAATAAACACCATTGCATATTTACACATGCTGCTGTAACGAAAACATTTCCAACTTGGGATCAATAAAGTAAAGGTTGATAAACGCTGTGAGAATGAATCTGCGGAGAGCATTTCACCGCGATCCCAACTCGTCTATTACCAACGTTCAGGGAACTCTATGCAAGTCAATGGGACTCCCTGATAGTTGAAACTCGACGCTAAAGCCCCCCCCCCCCTTGCATTGGAAAGTGACGACAGGGACCCTGACATAACGTTAACATAGGCCGAGTTTGGAGTGAGAATGTGTTGGTACTTCAGTCAATTAAGTGAAATGTAATCCCTCTTTTTGAGTTTTACTTGATGAAGTAATATTGCTTTTTGTTGTTTTTACTTGTTTTGTGCAACATTTATCTCAAAGGTCGTAGTAGTAGGTTTTTTTAATGGCGTGTTCTGACTTTATCTAAGCTTGGACTACTGAAATGTTTTCATAACGCCCCACACACACACAACTCATAGCAGGGCAGAAGGACTGACTCACCCTCTATAAAACACCCCAACTACCGCTGACATGAAGCCAGCCGGAGCCTCCTTCTGCTGCTCCGCAACACACACATCTGCCTCTGTGTGTGCACATTTCTGGGCACTACCACACACACAGACACGCACAGAATGTACTCTTGTGAAACCTCTCATCAAATAAGTCAGTTTAAACAAACAGCAGACAGAAGTTGAGATGAAGATGAAGTTAACTAAGCAATGGTTAGGCTGCAGCATCACGTGAGTCAGTACATGTGCAGGACAGGTGTGTGTGTGTGTGTGTGTGTGTGTGTGTGTGTGTGTGTGTGTGTGTGTGTGTGTGTGTGTGTGTGTGTGTGTGTGTTTGTATGTGGTGGTTTGCAAGCAAAAGCAAATATGTCATGCCGTGCTGCAAGAAACCGTCACTGACTCACCCCCCTATTACACCACCCTCTTCCTCCTTCTTCTCATCCTTCTCTTCAGTGTTCTCACTACTCTCCGTCCCTCTTTCCGCTGTGGTCTCCTCCACTGCCGCCCACAGCTGCTTCTCCGCCTCACACACTGGCTCCTTATTGTCGATGAGACTCTCCTGACCACCAGTCACGGCCTCGGATGGTTTCCCCTCATCTGCTCCCTCCTGTTGTGGTTTCCCCGGCTGGAGGACTTGTTCCTGCCGCAGTTCTGGTTCTGGTTTTGAGGGAAGCAGCGACTCCAGCGCCAAAGCCGTATGCTCAAAGGCTGGTTTGGGGGAAACTTCGGTTGAGGTTTCTGGTTCCATGCTGGGTCCTCCTGGCTCTTTGGGCTGCTCTTTGTTTGGTGGTGCGCCGGGTTCAGCTGGAGTTGGGACAATGTGAGGTGTTTCTGAGTCTTTTGTTGTGATTGGCTGGGGCTCCTGCTTCACAGCTGTGTCCACCTCAGCAGCATCTTGTTTTTGTGAGCTAGGAGAAAAGTAAAAAATCACATTAAAACACAGCCTTCACAGTTTTGGGGCCTATTCTATCATTAAGAAGCCAGACCACCAGCGAAGCAGACACACACACTGATAGTCGTAAAGACAGACAAAGCAGACAGACAGACAGACGTCCCCTTATCCATTCTTACCCTCTGCACAAAGTTTTTGTACCCTCGTTGACAGAGCATTTTTCAGGTATATCTTTCTCATTTCTCCCTTCTAGCGATTTCCACACAGGAGTCTCTGCATCAGACCGCCTCTGTGGAGCTGGCACCAGGGTCAACACCTCTAATGTGAAAGGTTTATCCTGAAAAGTGGGGCCTCGTGGAGGACATGTGGCAGATATTTTCTTTTCTGGGCCAACAGTTTTTGGCAATGAACCTTCCTTTAACAGAGAGGGTTGCCCCAAACTAGAATAAGGGGAGACAAATAAATATATAGGATGAGATAAAGGGTGGGGGGCATGATGGTATGAAAAAAGAGTTCAGCAGGAATAAGAAAGACATAAGAGGAAAGCCATTTAAGAACAGAAAAAAATTAAAGTAGGGGTGAGCGATACCACACAATTTAATACCAAGTATTCCCACGGCCACGATTACTGATTTCAATGTTTTTTGTTATTAGAAGAGCAAACAAAAAAACTGTGATTCATTGGAGAAATGCATCATTATTACATTTTAATTGCATGTTGTCTTGGAGATTAGTATTTTCTTTTGTCTATTGTCTATTATATACATGCATGGTAAAATGCAATATATTAATGGTAAATAAGGTCATTTGAATGTATGATGCACACACAACAGCAGCAAAGAACAGATCTACTGTAGCAAGTGTTGCAACTCAAAACAAGACTCAGTATTGATGGTATCTATATCATTCTTTGGGGATCAATCTACCCACCCGTACCACATAGATAATCAATAAGGTCTTACAAGAGCAAAGAAAATAATCACAACAAAAAAGCAGAGCAATAATCCAAAACAGAAATGTTAAATGTTTTAGTTAAAGGTGGGGTAGGTAAGTTTGAGAAACCGGCTCGAGATCGCTAGAATTTGAAAATACACGACCGGAGAAAATCTGCCACTTCCTTATAGAGCCCCTCCTCCAACACACACGAACGCGCACATGAGCAATGAGGGCACGAGATAAGTTTGTGCACAGATGGAAGGCTGACAGGCAGGTAGGCCATCCAGTTATTTTAGCCGGGCCGGCTCAAATGATTGGTCGTGCTTTTTACAGTACTACGGCTTCCACAGATGACATTTTTGTATGGATTTTTTGTCAAAGCATTTAATATATTCATTGCTATCGGGATGTTAAGAGCATTCCATGGAATATATTAAAAAGTGTTTTTTAACCCTAACCCTCCATTACATTTGGAGGGAAATAGTGTACTTTTTATTCCTCTATATTTATTTAACAACATTATTTAATAGTTACTTTACATATTCACATTATAAGCGAATACAAAATATAAATAAACAAATACATAAACTATGATATAAAATGATAGGTTAAGTTATACAGCAGCAGTATATAAAGTAATTAAATTAGCTCAACCTTTACCAGGTGTGATGAACACATTAATGAATTAATTTTAAAAATGCAGGTATTTATGATTCTAAAATGGGACATTATTAGTATTTCTACGTTAAACTAAGGGGAAAAAAATTCAATATACATGTAATAACTGGAATATTCCAGCCTACATTCACAGTAATCTGCTGTAGTGAAAATGTTGTGTACCATGTAGTTGTATTTTGGAGCAACTCCAACTATAATGTGTACGGGGAACTTCTCTAGTTACAGTAGTTGGAATGTTAACTACCACGCAAACCTCCATGTTTACTAGTCCACTATCCATATCACTTTCTTCTAGTGCTGCACTCTCTCATCTATTTCTAGACTCTTAGTCATCTGTAGAAGCTTGCTTTCCTCAGTCAATGATCTGCCTTCTTCTCATCATATTATTTAAAAATGTTAAACTCTGTGTTTATCAATCTACATCCAATCAATTACTCACGTTAAATAAATTATTTTGTGAGTATAAATATACTTAAAAAGACCTTAAAAGCGCACTAACAATCTAATGCAACCAATGGGAGGTGCCAATTCTTTCCATCCATTGTTTTGACACAAATAAAATGGCGCAGGGTAATGGTGCACTAAGTGGCACATTTTTTGGATTTCAGAATAACTCATTGTGACTAAAGTTGCAAAGTAGCACTGCATTCGTAAGTTGTCTAATTTGTCTCCATTGTGACATGTCCCCATGCTTTAATGTTCTAAAGCTCTTTATTTTTCTCATACTGCCTGTGCTGCAGCACCTCTTTCCACCCTCTGTCTGACCAGAGCCCAGTCTGCTCTGATTGGTTAGCTGGCTTGCTCTATGGTGATCGGTCAACCATTTAGAGATGTCCCGCCCCTTAGCCTATCAAGTACAATGTGTTGGAGCGCTAGCCAATAGTAGAGTGAGTGTTCCATAGTGATGGTGACATCATATTATGGAAGTAAACAACAGACTCCTTCAGGCTGGGCATGCACCAGAACCTATACAATACTACAGAACAGGGAAAACCCCAAAAAGCATGATAAGGCCTCTTTAATAACAAAGTCCGAAATATTTAAATCATGGAACATATTCAGCTCTAAATAATTTAAACATCACTATATAGCAGCTGACCGTTGGGAAACTATTACATAACAAAAAAGTGATAAAACACGAAAACCAAATCAACCATGTCACCAAGCAATTGTTATTCCTGGAGAGAAGTGTGTTCAGCGTGAAGCTGAGATCACCCACCTTTGTGGCAGAGTCCACGGCTGCCCCTCTCTCCAGCAGCTCCTGGACCAGGTCCACATGGCCCTCCTTGGCTGCCAGGTGCAGTGCATTGAGACCATTCTGGGAAAAGACCACGTAGGCAAGGTTAGTCCAATAAACGCAACATCAACAAAGAATAAAGACAGGTCCAAATGGAAATAGAAAGAGTTACCTCCTCTAAAACAGCTAACGGAGCCCGCCTTTCTATCTCAGTTTCCATCTGTCCTACATGTGTCTGTCCCTCTCTGAGACTGAAATATCAACGCTAGATATCAAAGTTGCTCAGTTGTTGTGCCATGCAATGCTGGCATGAAGCAGAGCCAGTCACAGGAATAAAGATAGAAATAAGTGTGTGAGAGTGTGTGTGTTGTCTGTCACATACTCTTTTGTCTGTCACATACTAATCTTGTCTGTCACATAAGTGGCGCAACTGATGCGGTATTGCGCTAAGGGGAAATTATTTTGACCGGACACTTTGACCGGAGACATTTAGATTTGCCGGTCTTCAGCATATTTTACCGGTCATAGTCCGGTAATTACCGGCTAACTGGAACTCTGCGCTGTGGTCTGCCACAANGGCTGCTCTTGTTGGTGGTCGCCGGTGCAGCTGGAAGTTGACACATGTGAGGTGTTCTGAGTCTTTTGTTTGATGGCTGGGGCTGCCTGCTTCCAGCGTGGCCACCGCAGCAGCACTTGTTTTGTCGAGCTAGGAAAAAGCTAAAAAATCACCATAAATACAGCAGCGCTTGCACGAGTGTTTGGGGCCTATTCTATCATTAAGAAGCCAGACCCCCCGCCCGCGCTGCGGACCCAGCGAAGCAGACAGCAAGCCACACACCGGATAGCCGAAAGAGCAGACAAGCAGACCCAGACAGGCAGACGTCGGCCCTATCCATTCTAGCCGCTCTGCACAAAGTTTTGTACGCCCCGTTGACAGAGCATTTTCAGGTATATCTTTCTCATTTCTCGCTCTATTAGCGATTTCCAAAACAACAGATCTGCATCAGCCCGCCTCGTGAGGCTGCAACCAGGGTCAACACGCATCAATGAGTGAAAGGTTTACCTGAAAAGTGGGTGCCTCGTGAGGACATGTGGCAGATATTTTCTTCTTGGGCCAACAGTGTTTTGGCAATGACCTCCCTTAACAGAGAGGTTCGCCCGCAAAACTAGAATAAGGGGAGAACAAAAAATATAAGGAATGAGAAAAGGGTGGGGGGCATGATATACTGAAAAAAGAGTTCAGGCAGGAATCAAAAGACATAAGAGGAAAGCCATTTAAGAACAGAAAAAAAAATAAAAAGTAGGGGAGCGATACCACACAATTTAATACGCAAGTATCCCACGCCCCAGATTACGATCAATGTTTTTGTGTATAGAAAGACAAAAAAAAAAACGTGATTCATTGAGAAATTGCATCATTAGTATCACATTTTAATTGCAATGGTGTCTGGAGATTGAGATTTTCTTTGTCTATTGTCTATTATAGTACATGCATGGAAAATGCAATATAATAATGGTAAATAAAGTCATTTGAAGTATGATGCACACACAACAGGGCAGGCAAAAGAACAGATCTACTGTAGCACAAGGTGTGTGCAACTCAAAACAAGACTCAGTATGATGCAGTCATATCATAACTTGGGGATCAATCTACCCACCCGTACCCACATAGAAATCAATAAGGTCTATACAAGAGCAAGAAATATAATCACAAACATAATAAAGCAGAGCAATAATCCAAACAGAAATGTAAATGTTTTAGTAAAGGTTGGGGTAGGTAAGTTGAGAAAAAAACGCCCTCGAGATCGGCTAGAAAAATTGAAAATAATACCCGACCGGAGAAACTGCCCCACTTCCTTATAGAGCCCGCTCCCTCCAACACACAGCGAACGACGCCCACATGACGGCAATGAGGCACGGATAGGTTTGGGCACAGATATGGAAGGCTGAAAGACGTAGACCATCCAGTTTATTAGCTGGTCCCGGCTAAAAATGATTGCCTCGCTTTTTAACAGTACTAGCCGGCTTCGCACAGATGATATTTTGTATGGAGTTTTGTCACAGCACTTAAGATATCTCATAGCATCAGCTGATTGGATGTACAAGAGCAACTTGCAGGTTAGAGACACCAGTGAATAAATGTGTAGGAAAATGATGAATACACTAGATTTCGCCAAAAATATACAGAAATATACACTACAGTGACATCTGGCGTCGTTTTAGTAAGACATTTTCACTTCTTCATAAAAAAGCCTCCGCACGTGACCTCCCGCGTGTGACGTAGCATGGGGGAAACAAGGGGGAGAGCGGCCGGTCTAACGTATGAATAAACATGGATCACAATGCTAGTTTTGACACAGAAGAGGTTGAAAATATATATTCGAATGCATATGATTATGAGCCTGCTAGGCGTCCAAGAGACCAGGAGCAGCCAAGGATTAGAAAAAATAACGGCCATCGGAGAGAAATTGAGCTTTCGTGTGTGGAGAACCAGTGGAGAACAGAGCTTCTGTCTTGGTGAGTGACCGGTGTTAGCATGTTAGCTAACGTTAGTCACATCACAACATTGTAAAGTTAGCAATCATATATCAGGCTATAACTAAAGTAGTATTGATAATATAGTAACGTTACTGGCAGGCAGGCCCGGCTCCAGGATGAAATTACTGAGGGGGCTGTTAAAAAATCCGAGGGGGCGATTTTTTTCTCACAACAACGAAAAATACTGGCAATGTAATGAATTGACACACCAAGCTTTTTTCCTTCTCACTGCTCTACAATCTCTTTGCTTCTTTATTTGTTATTCTGGATTTACCTCTGTCGTTCTGTTCTTTTCCTATGATCTTTAATATTAGATAGTACATTATTAGATGGCCGAACTTTGTTTAACAGACTAACATTGATTTCCTCAATTTATAAATGGACAGGCTCTGTAATTATACCATAACCTGTTCTCCTCTATCCCTTAACTCATCTTCCTATACAGATGTACTTACTTACTATCTACTCTAGTCATGCGCAAGTCTGTATCAGCTGTATCTCGCCTTACCTAATGCAACTCCACCCTACGGTGGATGCACAACGCACCCAGGAACGAACGCTAGCTCCGGTCCTTTTCCCGTGAGGGAAACTGTGTACTCGATGCCCTGACAGGCTTGTGTTTGTGCAACCTGCACAAACACAAGCTCACCATGATTACAAATGGTGAAATGCAATGTAAAATTACCGAAAAAATACCAGCTCACTAAATCACAACCGCTCAAACCAACTACAAACTACTACCGCGGATTGGGCAGAGAACGAGTCCGAGAAAGTTGCTCCCCCATGTGACGTAATATGACGCTTTTGACGTATGACATTAAAAAAAAGCAGTTTTTAGTAGCAGAGCTCAAAACGGCTCCTGTTCCTCTGAATTCCTGCCCTTATGTCTTGTAAAACATATCAAATCCTGCATTAACATTTTTAATTGTAATTTTCAGGCAAGGTTAAGAATAAATGTAGTAAAAAAAAAAAACCTGCAAGTTACTCTTTAAGAGCATTCCATGCAATATAACAAAAAGTGTATCTCGGGTTTCACAAACTTGCATACCTTTAACCAGTATTAAAACAAAGTTAATTTAAAGTAATTTTTCAAGGAAAACACAGATTTTATTTGAATATTTAGAAAGGAAATGACAGCCATTTAAAGTATAAAAAAATCAACACCGACAGTGAAAATGTAACTTTTTCAGTGGTGCAACTCACCGCTCATTGGAGGCGGAGCTTGATTTATTGACAGATTGAAGGGTCATGCCTCTGTCTTGTGATTGGAGGAGAGTTTGATATGACCGTTGCTCGGATGTACAGCTGGTTGTCTCCGGAGGAGGGAGGAGAGGAGCAGGAAGTGGAGTCTGTGGTCCATCTTTAGGAGCCACTGTGGGCAGGTGTGTGAGACTGGGAGGAAGGAGGTCAGTGTTTAGCTGAGGAAGTGGCAGAGAAGGAGTCTTCATCTTCTGCTTGTCCTCATCTGACTTGTTGGCCTCCTTTCTCCTTTTGTCTTCCTCCTCTTTCTTCCTCCTCATTTCCATCTCTTCCTTCTTCTGTTCCACTTCTTTATTTGTCCTGTCTTCTTCCTCCTTTATTCTCATTTTCTCTTTCTCCTCTCTAAGTCTCTTCTCCTCCTCTTCCCTTTTTTTCTTCATCTCAGCCTCCTTTTCCTGCGGCTCCTTCAAGAGTCTCTCTCTCCTCCTCTCCTCCTCTTCTTCACGTCTTTTCTCCTCTGCTTTTTTCCTCCTCTCCCTCCTTTCCTTCTCTTTCTTGACAAGTCTCTCATTCTCTTTCATCTCTCTCACACTTTCCTCCTCCCCCTCATCCTCCCTCTTCTTCCTCACCCCTTCTGCCTCCCTTTTCTTCCTCTCTTCCTCTTTCTTCTCCTCCTCCTCCCTCTTCTTCCTCACCCCTTCTGCCTCCCTTTTCTTCCTCTCTTCCTCTTTCCTCTCCTCCTCCTCCCTCTTCTTCTTCTCCTCTTCCTCTTTGATGTTCTGCTGCTCCCTCTCTTGTCTCTCCTCCATCTTCTTCTTCTCTTCCTCCCCCAGGAGCCTATGTCTCTCTTCCTCGCTCCCCTTTCTTTTCTCCTCAAACACTCTCCTCTCCACCAGAAGTTTCTCCTCCTCCTCTTTCATTTTCCTTAAGAACCTCTCCTTCTCCAGCCTCCTCTCTTCCTCCCTCCTTCCTCTCTCCTTTTCCCCCTCCACCTCCAGAAGTCTCCTCTGCTTCTCTCGTTTCTTCCTCTCCTCTTCATCCCGCGTCCTCTTGTCCTCCCTCTGCTTCTCTTGTTTATCTCTCCTCTCAACAAGGAGTCTCTCTTCCTCGCATCTTTTTCTGTCCTTCTCCTTCTTGAGCTCCTCTTCCTCCTGTAAGAGCCTCTTCTTCTCCTCCTCTAACAGTCTCTTTTTCTCTTCTTCATGCTTTCTCCCCTTTTCCTGCTTCTGGAGCATCACTTTGTGTTCTCCATCTTTCCTCCTCTGTTCCTCCTCTTGTTCTCTCTCCCTCTTCTGCTCTGCCTCCATCTTCACCTCCTTGTCGGTCGCTGCTCCCTCTAACTTCTCCTTTTCTCCACCGGCCTTTTCACTGGTTTTCTGTTCAAGACTGCAGAACAGATAAACAATATACCTTAAACCTGTGTGTGTGTGTGTGTGTGTGTGTGTGTGTGTGTGTGTGTGTGTGTGTGTGTGTGTGTGTGTGTGTGTGTGTGTGTGTGTGTGTGTGTGTGTGTGTGTGTGCAGGATGAATGGATGTTTTGATAGATTTTAAAGCCTGCAGGCGGGAAACACGACTCAGCACAAAACGTCTCTGATAAAATATCCGAAATGCTAAAACAACACCCTGTGTGTGTGTAACGTCAGAGTTAATGGGGTTCCTGTGAACCACAGCATTTTTTTTCTGTCTGAACCCGCCGAGTCTCAGAGGTTACAGGAATGAGCTGCCTGCAGCTACACACACACACACACACACACACACACACACACACACACACACACACACAGAGAGACAC